TATAAAACAAACAGTTCAGTTCCTGAAGCACTTTAGTTTACCTCGCGGTATATCTGAACAGGGCTGTCAGTTCCTCAGCATGAGTCTGCAGGGCAGCTGGAACGTTTGCTTTGCTTAACACTCAGACACGTGAAATTTCGGACTGCGTGTTCGGCTAACGAAATGAGATATGCCTATTAAATTATGAAATTCATGCTTGAGAATCTCTCATCTTGGTGCAATGCTAATGCGAGACTGACGCGGGAACGTCCGTTTTCAAGTTCCCATTCTTTGTTTTCTTTCGTCCAGACCGGTATTCAATTTCACACCTGGTCTTATAAAGATACTGTCCTGATCGTGTCCTAGGTCAAGACTAACAATGCAAGGTACGTTCGTCGGCACCCCACACGGAGAGAATGACTAGGTAACATTGCCGCCTAGCTGATGCTGATCTTATCCACGAGCAAGGCGAATTTTTGGGGCGGATTTAGCACATCCCTTGGAGTAATGCACTAAAACAGGGGTCCTATAGTGGTAGATATCCCTGGAAACGCCTCATGCCTGTTGGCCTAGGTGCTGCCGCCTATGCTTGTTTGTATTCCAGAACCTCAAAACGAGAAGACCTCAAAATTCGCTACGATATGTTGTTGGCGCGCTCGCAACTTCCACATAGCCTTAGAAGACCATTGCCACCCTGCGAAGGACCAAACCTGTCAGCGTTCAAGAGAGGGGGGCTTGCTATCCACTTCATAAAGCTTCTCAGTTCGTCGCCGCGCTTGGACGGATCTGAAGGAGCCGAAGGAAGCCACAGCTATGTCTTCAAAGTTCGCATAGGTAAGAAGAAGTATGCACTGAAGGTGGTAGGTACATACGCGCATAGTTGATCACGACTATATCGTTCAGGCCTAATATGCGTCTAGTTCAAGTTCTTCAGTGTCGAGCACGAACGCTCTTCAGTATTTCCTACCGATAAGGTCAAGGCAAGCGATGAGATAATCGCTTATCACTCTGATCCATTTTTTGCAGAGTGTAGAGCATACGGAAAGTTGCAAACCCATGAGCAAGAGCAGGAAAGAAAACGAACAAGAGACGAGAGGCGGCAACATCGGGAACATCGACACCGACTATGTTTGCGGCGGCATAAAGACATAAAAATATGCCATGAATTAAGGTAAGATGAGAGGATCCTCTTCGACGTGTAATAGAAGCATGTATCGAAAGACCTTGCCAGCGCGTATGAGACTAGAATGTCCCATGGTAGCGAAGACATGTCGCCAAGTTTGCCATGCAAGCACAAGGGTAAAGCACGACGCAAGACAAATCGCGTAGATTTCCGGGGGGTACATAGTAACTTGATTACGAAATTCCAGAGGAAAATTCTTCCTCTGTTACCTGCGGTTGCCTTGACGTACTTATACTTCGCCTAAATTCGTATTTTCTGGAACCCGGTTTAAGGCTGGTAGTGTCGGGTCGGTCCGCTACCCACTCACTAAAAATACTACCATAGATGCCAAAAATACTTAGCCAATGAAGAGATGGGCTTAATTATAGATAGATGTAATTACTAGTATTTAAAATCCGTTATCCGCCTCTCCAGAACAAGACTATCTGGACTATCGACTTCTTATAATTGTGTTTCTCTGTTTTATCTGTTCTCCCCAGATATCAGTTTCCACTTTGTATACTGCAAACGACCGACCCACACCATGTCGGCCAAAGTCCTAGATGGCCATCGTCTTACCCTGTTTAGGAAATGCTACCAACTTCAAGCTCAGTTTCCTGGTATGGAAATAGACTGTAGAGTTGCGTACAATGGTGAGATCCATGTATATCGTCATGACAAAGAGGCTTCTTGGCCTACTCAAGTGAGTTTTTGAAGTTGCGAGTTTATCGAACAGCGCACTCACTCTTACAAAAGGATAAAAATCCCACGCGAGTGTATCTACCCTGCGATTTCCAAACGGTGAGAGAATCACAATCAGTAGGTGTCATCGGTGGTTTTGACCCTGCCAATCGATCAAGCCTCAACGATCGATCTCTTGAAGCCACACCTGATCTTTTGTATGATCCGTACGCTTCGCCAAGTGGGAAACACTCTTCTCCAGTCGCATCCATTGAGGGTCTGGGCGCTGATGAAAATCGCACCATTCAACAGAGCGAGCTGGACTTCAGTTTGCAAAACTGTAGCGACAATGATGGACTTCTATTCCTACTTTACATCCCTCCCTATGCAGACACTCAGTGACCACAATCATGGAATCGACGTCCTACGGCCTCCAAAAAGGCGACCAATTCCAGCGAGATCCCCGCATGGCTACCTGCACAAGCGACGACGTTTAGGTCACGACTCTTGATTAATTGTTACCGTGGGCAAGTTTGGCGCAGAAGTTGATGGAGGCTCTAATAAGTTGGCAAGATGACGTGTTGATCCCTTGACGCCTGTTGGTTGTTTGATTCTGGAGCGTGTCTTGTCAATGATTTTCTTGGCAGCTTAAGCAGACTAGATTTAGATGGAAGTTCCAGGTGCATAGTATCAGGTCTGTCATAAATGCGCTCGTTCTCCTTGAATAGAGTCAGAGATGCCGTGTTGCCTATAAATAAGTACTGGTGCATCCGGAGCAGTTCTTCAAACCTGTATCGGTCATTGTAATTGAAAATTTCTCGGTCTCGAGTCATTAGTTTCGCACTGGGTATATCTTACCGGAGAACGTTGAAAAATTCGTATAAGTGATTTATTTCAGCGTATAAAGGAATGAAGAATAGCTTCTCGTTCGTTGTATAGACCATAACAACGTACGTGCGTATCGGCGAATTTGAGAAACTCTTGTACCACCCAGGAGCTTATCGCCACCTTCTAGACAACATGACTACAGAGGCACGAATTCTTGAAGCAACACGCCGTCTCAATGAGGTGACATTCAAAACACCTCACTCACCACACAGGGGAGTAAGTGAATTAGCAGCAGGGTTCTCGCCCTCCGAGACTCTCAGTTTAGAGTCTCTAATATGCTCTATACGCGACAG